AAATATATAGGTTCACCCAACCACATTAGTATGAAGCCTTGTTATGCTGACTTCGACTAAGGCTCTATTCCATTCGTCCGATCTAATTAGATCCGATCTAATTTCTTAAGGTCTAGCCTAACCAGAATGGATTTGATTAGATCTGATATGATGTGATTTGATCTGATCTAATCTGATTAGATTTGATCTGATTTGAATATATGTTATCTGATCTGATCTATATTAAATAATAGTTAAAACTATTATAATAACTTCAATATTACTATCATTGTTATTATTATTAGTTATTGTTATTATTATTATTGTTGTTGTTGTTAATAGGATTATTATTATTATTATATGTGTGTTATATGAAACAAAAAGTGAGTAGTATAGTGAAGATGTAGAAAAAGAATGTTAGTACTTGTTTTGCAGATTTATTGAGTTAGTTTTTAAATATGTAAAATGAACTCTATATTTTTTTAATTTTTATAAATAAGATTATTTTAAAAGAGATAAAATTTTGTATGTGTCTCTAAAAAGTATAATAATTTAGTAATAGATAGTATATTATAAATACTTAAATAATAATAAGTATCATTTAATCATTTGTAACATTATTATTATTATTATTATTATTATGACTTAATTGTATGTAACATTATGATAATAATTATTAGAACATTATACACAACATTAAATAATACTTCGTATAACACAAATTAATTGTATACTTATTATTTTGTGACGAGAAAATATAGGATCATTTGTTAACCTTCTTCTGGATTTATTTATTTTAATTTGAAAAAAATCTTATCTAATTGATTTTGATCTGATTAAATTTAATATGGTCTAATTTGATATGATACGATCTAATCTGAAAAGTTTTTTTTAAAAATTCGTTATTTGAGCAAAATCTGATTGATTTCAATTGGGGCAATCAAATTGTTGTTGGAAATAGACAAAAAGCAGGAATTGACATTAAAGCATTAAAATAGAAATGCTATGGACAAAACACATTGGACGAAAATAGACCAAAAATGGAAGTATCAGACGTAGCGCAAATTAGTTGTTTTCCCAAAGTAGACCATCTCGACAAAAGTAGTGACGTTGCATCGACTTGACAATTTTCCAATCTTCTTCTTACAACCATGCAATTCAAAAACTAATGCTCCCTCCATCCGGGAATGATGTTCCCATTGTACGTTTTTTTTCATCCGGGAATGATGTTCCCATTGTACGCTTTTTCCTCTATTCTCCCTAAAATACCCCTCTCAATGATTGCAAATAGTGACTTTTACTTTATGTTTCATCCGCCACTTTCTCCTCTTTCTTATCCCCATCCCTTATTTTTAAAGCAAGGGTATGTTGGACATTTTAAAGCCTTTTTCCACCCCTCTTAAAAATGAGGAAAAGTCAAAGTGTGAAAATCATTCCCGGACGGAGGGAGTAATACTTTCCCTGTCCCAATGTATTTATATAGTTTGATTTTGTAAAATTTGTTCTAAATAGGACTAAAACATAATGACTTTCCCAATGTAGGACTTAAACTTTTTTATTCCCTAAATAGGACTTATTAATGACCTAGTGGGAGGAATAATGTCCAGTAATGATGGACATTTACTTGAATAATGACTACTTGATAATGACCAAAAGTCCTACATTGGGAAATAAAAATATATGGTCCTATATTGGGAAAGCCATTATGTTTTAGTCCTATTTAGGTAAATTTCTCTTTGATTTTTTCAAATCAACTCAGATGCAATTTGAGCGTTAATTTGATAAAAGCTATAGTGTCTTTTAGTATAAAAATTATTTTATTAGATTTATCTTATTAAGAACTAGCATAGATGGCGATATATGTGAGAGAATATATAATCAGAGAGTTTGAGCAGCGCCGTTGTGTAAAGAATACATAAACATAATCGCTACATACATGGTAAGTGTTAGAATATAAGAAACATTTACTAGGCCACAACCACAAGCTTGAGCTTCTGGTTGAGTTGGTTCCTTGACATGGTAACAGAGTCTTGTTGACTAAGAGGTCACAGATTCAAAACTCAGCGCGACCCAGTTTTAAAAATATTAAGGTTTCACGTATAAGGCTCGAAAAAGACTATGCCAGCACGTGAGGAAGCGTGTTAGAATATAAGAAACATTTACTAGGCCACAACCACAACCTTGAGCTTTTGGTTAAATTTGGTTCTTTGACAGTAAGAGAATAATTGAACTCCTAAAACTAGCGAATTGAATAAAATTATTAAAAGGGTATATAATTGAGAAATTTACTTAAATAGCACTAAAACATAATGATTTTCCCTAAATAGCACCACATGTGTTTTTCTTCCGAATGTAGCACTTTTAGTCATTATGCATTAGTCATTATTCAAATAATATTCGGCATCACTGGACATTATGGACATTATTAAGTGCTATTTAGAGAATAAAACAGTTTTTGTGCTATTTAAGAAAATGACTTAAGTTTTAGTGCTATTTTGTGCAAATATTTCTATATAATATCCCTCCACGATGGAACTCCCATTCAAGTCAAATGAATAATTAAGATTGGAAAACAGTGGTCAAATTTTGCAACCTACTTGCAAATATTTTTGTTGGGATAGAAAAAGTATTAAGTATAAACAAATTTTACAAAACATGCATAAATCTTATAAGACTCTTTTCTTTTTAATTACTTTTATTCAATGAGTAGTGTTATTGTGGTCTTAAGATTCCTATGTGAAATGTGGACATTCTGATATATTTTTCATTGATTTATAAGAGAATTTTTATAACCATTTTATGTATAAAGATCTATATATAAAATAATCATGGACCTACTACAGAATTTACCTATTGTGATATCTAGAGTTGTCATAACTATAAAAGCATCAAACTTCTTAGCCATTCCATGAAGGCTTGGGAATGTATCATAGAGGCTCGTTTGCAAAAGGTGGTGTATATTTTTGAGAACCAATTTGGCTTTATGCCTGGCCGCTCGACCACAGAGGCTATCTACTTATTGCGGAGGTTGATGGAGTATAGAGCTAAGAAGAAGGATCTTCACATGGCGTTCATGGATCCCGAGAGTGCATACCACAAAGTACCAAGTGATATCTTGTGGAGATATCTTGAGGCTAGACTCTAGAGGGGTTCCAATTGCATACATTCATGCGGTCTCTTGGTGCATGTTTGTTACTAACAATATTGTTTTGATCAACGATACACACGAGGAACTGAATGACAAGTTAAAGGTATGGCGTCATTCCCTAGAATCCAAGGGTTTTAGATTGAGTAAAACTAAGACTCATTACGTGAAATGTGGCTTTAATGGTCAGGTGACAGGGTCGGAGGTGGAAGTTAAGATTGATTCACACCTAGTGCCTAAGAGAGTAAAATTTTGATATCTTGATTTGGTTATTTAGGCGGATGGAGAAATCGATAGGGATGTTGTTCACCATATTGGATCTATGTGGGTAAAGTTGAAATTGGTGTCATGAGTTCTATGTGATAAAAAGATTTCAGAAAAGATGAAAGGGAGGTTTTTTAAGTCCGTGGTCAGAGTGGTAATGCTTTATGGTGCGAAATGTTGGCCGGTTGAGAAAGTCCACATTTGTGAACTGCATGCAGCACAAATGCAGATGCCACGGTGGATGTGTGGGCAAACAAGATTGGTAGGATCTGGAATGAGGTTATTCAGAGACAGGTGGGAGTGGCACCGATGGAGGATAAACTACAAGAGGTTTGGTTTAGATGGTTTTGTCATGTGAAAAGGCGTGCACCTGAGGCCCCTGTGCAGAGATGCGAGAGGCTTTCGATAGTTGGTGGGTTTGGGGGTAGGCGTAGACTTAGGTAGAATTAGAAAGAGGTGGTAAGGCAGGACTTAGGACACTTGGCTCTTACCAATGATATGACCTTAGATTGGGACATGTGGAGATATAAGATTAGAGTAGTTGGGTAGTCGTTTAATCTAGGGTGCTAGTTTTATTCGTGTTCTTCTGTTTTGTGTTGGCTTGAAGTGTTTCTTCTTTCAGTTTTCTAAGTACCTTATGCCTTATCACTTTTTTCTCACCCATAGTGTACTCTGTCCTATTATTGTGCTACTTGATTTTTGTACTACTTGAGTTGGGAGTCTCTTGGAAATATCATCTCTTCTTTTAGTAGGGGTAAGTTGTTTAGTAATCACCGATTCAAAATGCACTTTCGAGAATTGACACCACTTTTGTGAAGCACCTTTTAAATCGATTATTAGTAAATAATTAATTTAATTTTTTTTAACGAAGTAAAAACTGGAACAGAACAGAACACAAAACTACCGAACAGAGCACACAGAAAACAGCAGACCAGAGCACACAATAAAAAATAAAGTTTTTAACAAACTACTCATATTGTTGAAACACAATATACTAACTAAAAAATATATTCATTTCAACAAAACAATCATACAATTCAATACATACTTACAAGCTAATCCTATATATGAAACCTAATCACCACACCCATCATACTAACCTTTCTAAACCCCCGACCCCTGCCCCCTAGGCTCCATCCAAATTTCCTAATCACCACACATTTAAAGGGCTCGGGGTGCGAGCAGTGGTGTGATTGGGATGATTGAGTTAGACATCATCAATTTTGTAGCTATTCTAAAAAGGCAATATCAATGAAACGGGACTTTAATATTTAACTACATCATCTTTTTACCATAGATTTTCCTAAATGTCATTTTTGTTTCTCCGTAAAATATTTTTTCATTACTTTCTTTTAGCATTTTAAATCCCACAACTATGCCAACTTCATTTGTTAAATCCCATCTAGCTCATTTAATATATTCTATTGAATTTTATTAGATTATTTAAGTAAACTTTAATATTGAAAATTAAAGATCAATGAGAGGGGGAGGAAATATTTATTACCTTGTTTACTAAAGTTATGTTACTCCCTAATTATTCAAAAATTCTATAGCGCGATCAAAACAATAGAGAATAGACCCCTAGCTACTATGATCTAATAAAGGTTCTCCACATTGCGTTCCACTTTTCTTTAGATCTAAGAATTGTTCAGTTTGCAGTTTTTGAGAAAAACGAAAGTAACAAATAAAGATATAATTATTCCAAAGCATTTTTATTTTATCAAAAGCATATACACATACTACTACTACTACACATCAATTTGAAATATATTAAAAATGACTATTCCGGCCGTTTATTGATATATACAGAAATAGAAGAAATTATTATTATCATTATTATTATTAGCATACAAAGCCAGTAGACGACGCAATGATCCGGTTAGAATCGGGAAAATGAGTCGTCTTGTACACCGGAAGTTCTTCCCGGAATCTTCTTTTTCCGACCAGTGCCCGGAGATCGATCTCGAATAAATCTGAACTCGAATCACTCAGATCATCCTCGTATTCTTCTTCTTCTTCTTCCCCTGCACTCATCCATGACTCATTCCTCCATATCTTGTAATGGTTATGGTAGCTTTTCATGGAAATGTCCCCGGAGAATGCCGCCGGATGAGATTTCTTGTTTTCTTGATTGTTTCCCGGCGCCGGAGACTCGCGGCTGTATGTGCGCCTGTGCCCGCAGGGGCGGCAGTCGTCCCCGACGACCACGCCCACGGGGTCGAACCTCACCGTCCTCTTCGACCCGCTCCTGTTCATCCTCGGCGTCCTGCTCAGGCAGGACGACCGCGACGCTGGCGGCGACGCGGCCCGCGCCGCCGCCAGCGGCGACCCCCTCCCCTTGCGGGCTGCGCCGCCGCCCGCGAATATCGAGTTGAGGAAGCTGGTGAGGCGGGCCCCCGGGGAGACGGGCGCTTTCGTCTTCTTCAGGTTCGCGTACATCTTCAGCGCGGCGGACTTGGACTTGATCCCCATCATCAAGTCCACGTCCCCGCGCGACGACGAGTTTCGCGACTTTTCCTGACTCGTCGCCGCCGTCGTTTTCACCTGCCTGAGCCTCGGAGCATTAAAACACGACGTTTTCGTCTCGGACGAAAGCCCGCTAGAACTCGACTCTGACGAGCGAGAGCTATAGAAGAAAGGGTCACTCTTGTCGTTGTAGCTGGAGAGCAACAACGATGAGAGTGGCCTATTGATGTGGACTTTGGGAGCATCAATAATTCCCTTTTGGTCCATCCAAGTCTCCACAAAACGCGCTTTTTTATAAAAGCTGTCAACATCCCCCTTCAAGCTGAGCCGGCTGGCTTGCGGGTACGTTCTCGGGTCGTTCGGGTTCTCGTCGATCCGATCGATGGAACGATAGATCTCGTCGAGGAGGGTGGCGGAGAAGGTGGAGTATTTTTGCTCTTTAGGACATTTTTGTCGCTGGAAATTAGACATTTTCTCAAACACTTTCAATTTGGGAGGGAGGGTAAAATGGGAAAGTTGTGTGGAAATGGGGTGTGAGTAGTGAGAAAGAATGGGAGGGGGAGGAGGGGATATATAGAGAGGAGATGCGCGTGCATATATGGTGGCCTTTGAATTTAGTCAATTTGTTAATTGAATTAATTTTTGCCAGTTTGGCAGCTTATTATTTGGATCCAACTCGAGTTTCCTTTTGTGCCCCTCATTCTTTGAGAAATTTCCGTTTACATGCCCTCGGATTAATAAGATAATCGTAAATGATGAAGTAGTAAGTAAATTTTGTCATTTTATTGTTTTTTATTTGTAAGAAAAGATCAAAAAACACTTTTGATGTAAGGTCCACAAAAAGTGTGATTCGATTCGTATAGTCGGTGTTTTCCGTGCATCTGAAGGCATGAAGAAATCTTAACCGCGACCGTAAAGGAAGAGGGAGAGAAAAGAATGGCGAAGTGTGAGATCTCCTAGATGAAGATGAAAAAGTCGGATGAAGATATGAATTTGGACGGTGAGAATTATGAAATGTGTATTATGATTGGTTAATGCACATTTTGTATAATAGTGATGAAATCTCGTTTGTCCATTGTATATCTGTGACGAAATCTGCAGTGACATTTTTCATGGTGCATACCATATACTAGTAGTTTTTATAAGTTTAACAAAGATCAGTCTACGAGTGAGAAGTAGAGCTATAGATCAAAATTCAACTTTGATTCCTTGAATCTTTGTTTTTTACTCTTGTGTTTATAAAAGATCTCTTGTATTTTCACCTTAGCTTCTTAAGGTCTTGTTCCTTTCATTTGATCTGAATAATTCTGATTTGATTGGAATAATTTCGGATGTTCCTGAATGTAATTATATTTAAAATTGTTTTTTATATGATTTAATCTATTATGAACTGATTTCAATAAAAATAAGTCATAAGTCATAAAAACTATGAAAATACCAAAATAAAAGTCATATTTATTTGTATTCATTCTCTCTCATATTTGGAGTCTGAAGACATTATGAGTCCTTTTCATCTGATTTTATTTGTATTAGAAATACCAAAATATTGTGGGAGAATCCCCTAAATAGGAGTAAAAAAACTATGAAAACACCAAAATAGAAGTCATAAGTTTTTTTTAGACCAAAGTAGAAGTTTACATTGTCATTGTTACACTGCTACACTCACCACATTATATTGTTACATTGTAACTGCCAAACTATCACCGCCACACAGCTGCCATTTGTCGCCATCGGTCACTAGAGTACCGTCGCAGATTATCGATGGCTGACTGATCACACCGATATATTATACTATGATCACTTTTTCATCACATTGCCAACATGTATTCTTACACCGCACCACACTGCCATTATAGTCATGTTTTAGTATTAAAAGATTTAGGACCCATATTTTAATATTTTTATACTTTTAACACCTATTCAGGGAGAATTATATTCTTTAAATATTATTCCTCTATTATTGTGTCGTACTACTCCCTCCGTAACCTTTCTGATTTTGACTTCTAAAGGATGTGTATTTTGGTGTTGACTTTCCTAAAACGCCCTTAGATGTGATGGATAAAAGTAGATGCGATGGGTAGATTAATAGTGAAAAAGTGTGATGTAATAGGTAGGTTAAGAATTAGTAGGGGTATAAGTGATTTTTTAATAGGAATGAGAATGATTTTTTGGGACGGATGAAAAAAGAAAGAAGAAAGATTATGTAGAACGGATGAAGTATGTTTTAATGCTATTTAGTGCAAATTTCACTTAAGATTATCCCTTCCCTAAGATGATTATACATAGTGGACTTTGGTAAATATTGTTGATTTTTATTTGTAAATTAGAAATAAAGAAAATGCAAAGACATGCATGTGATATTAGTTATGTTGTCATCTCAGAAAGCCAAGCCAAGCAAACTTACCAAAGCAAAGCCTCTTGTCCGATCCAATTTTTTGTTGTTGATTGGATTAAGAAACCACCAAATCAACATTTTATGATTAAATATTACTCCCTATTTTTTCATGTCCGAAAGTTTTGGTCCACTGGGCACTCACTTTGTCTATATATACTACTCCCTCCGTCCCAAAAAGATTTACATGTTTCAAAAAAATTGTGTCCCACAATCCTTACCCATTTCTATTAAAAAACCACTTTTATCCCTTACTTTTTCAAACCCTACCTATCACATCATACCTTTTTTCTAATAATTTACACATCACATCATACTTTTACTCATCACATCAAGGGTATTTTTGGAAAGTAAACACAAAATTATCTCTCCCTTAATTTTTACTTTATTCAAAACGTATCCATCTTTATGGGACGGAGGGAGTATATGCTATGTATATACTTTGAGGCTTTTGTCTCACCACGTTAAACGTACCCACCAAGTACTAGTTGTTTTTTCATCACTTCATCCCAAGTGTTCCGTACATTAATATTAATAATTATGAAATACTCCATCTATCATTATCCATTAAAATTTTGCGGTGCACAAACATATGTCATACTCCCTCCGTCCCTTAATAATGTTCCGTTTTTGACTTTTGGAGAAATTAAGGGAGGGATATTTTAGTGTTGACTTTCCAAAAATACCCTTGATGTGATGTGTAAAAGTAAGATGTGATAGGTAGATTATTAGTAAAAAGGTATGATGTGATAGGTAGGGTATGAAAAAGTAAGGGGTAAAAGGGGTTTTTTAGGGGAAAAGAGAAGTTTATTTAGGGACAAAGAAAAAACGAAAGAGGAACTTTATTTAGGGACGGAGGGAGTATGTCATTAATTTATGTGTAACAGTATTTAAACTTTTTTTATTTTCTAAATAATATTTGGAGGCGGAAACAATGTCCATTACGTGATGGTGGATATTTCGTTTGAACAATGTCTAGTGGCGCAGAATATTTACTTGAATAATGATTAGTGGACATTGAACAATATAATGGTACTACATTGAAAAATAAAAATATATGATATTACATTGGGAAACTCAATATGTTTTAGAAAAATTTGCACTAAATATGACTAAAACATAAGTCATTTCCCAATATAGGACTTAAACTTTTTTATTCTCTAAATAGGACTTAATAATATCTAGGGGAAGAAATAATGTCCAGTGATGGATGACATTTACTTGAATAATGACTAAATAATAATGACCAATGATCCTATATTGGGAAATAAAAACATATGGTCATATATTGAGAAAATCATTATGTTTTAGTCCTATTTAGGTAAATTACTCTATGTTTTAGTACTATTTAGATAAATTCTCCGAGATATATTTGCACGATACATACATAAATCGTACGCGTCACAAACGAGTTGCATCTATAGTACATCGTAAAATTTATACATATCTATTGAACGTCACCGTTTAATTAGTTTCGGGATTCACAGATTTCATATTCTATAATTTTATCTTCACAATATATACAAAATTCTAGATATATTTTAGGGAGTACGTACTACATTTTTTATTTTAAGAATTGTGTTGAATCTTGCATTTCAATTGGTTGGGTTGTGCATTTTTAATGCTAATAATTCAACTCCACGCTTTATATGAATATAATAATTATAGTTGTAATTAGCTAGGTATTTTCCATTATCTCCGATGGAGCCAAAATTTCACCATTTTTGGCTTTGGGGTGTGATGGAATAAATCAAAATGGATCTCTAAACTATCTGCGCTTCTTTAATTAATGAAGTAGCAGTTAGTCAAACAATGCAACTTTCGACGTTGAGCCGGGGGTCTCTTTGGAAACAGCCTCTCTACTTTCGAGTAGGGGCAAGGTCTGCGTACACACACCCTCCCCAGACCCTACTCTTGTGGGATTTAACTGGGTTGTTGTTGTTGTTGTTGTTAGTTGTAATTAGCTAGGTAATTAGGGTTGGCTTATTATTATGATTTGGAGGTATTATGTGACTCTCTACATGCATGTTCCCTGAGATATGACTGATCTGTTCTACTTACTGAAAACTAAATCAAAAACTCCGTATATCTTGGCCGGTAGTCGTTGGGGATAAATATGCCTTGTTAACTTTAATGTCACAAACTCACAACTCTCTCAAGTCCAAATTTTATTGTCAACCAATCAAGAAATTTAAAAGTCTTTAAGAAAAAGTCAATTTCGTATGCAAGATACGGATAAAAATAAATCTCGCATGCAAAAATAAGGGTGTGCGTTACTCTTGAAATTGTCGGAGATGATTAGATAAATGACTGCGGAATATTCATTTTGAATTAGCAATTCATTTTCAACCGTAGTGCTCATTCTGACGTCTGCTCAACATAGAGTGCTCGTTCTGAAACAATGTGCTGGTCATTCTAAATTACGGAGTAATTTTTTATTTACAAGTTTACTATTATGTATCAAGAGGTAGTCATCTGGCCGAACTATATAATTTATCATGTTATACGTGTACGGGTGCTAGGCAAGTGCAATAAACTCATTTTTTACTTTCCAATAAAGTAAAAGACATGCAAGACTTGTTTAACAATAGTTTCAACGTTTAACTTTAAGAATTTAAAAAGGTTATCTAACGATAATATTTAATTTTTGTCATTTCTAAAGTTAATTTACACAATTAAAAAACTAAAAACACTAACGATAATTGAAAAATACTAACTATTCATTTTTAAATTTTTTTTTTGAATTACGTGTAATTAAACTATCGAAATTTAACGGGGAATGGGGGAGTATTTAATTACTCCTATTAATTTTATGGGTCACTAGTTTGAGGTTGTTGCCCGGAATTATTCCGGAGTTACGTGGCCGAACCATTTCAGATTTTTAGTTGGTTAGAGAATTCATACTATCATTAGCTGGCAAAACTATAATTTTCCCCTTTTCTTTCAAACAATAAGATAAACATAGCCACATAGGGATCCATTAATCCGTACATGAAATATTTTTTTCTTTATTAATTACTCCATTTTATTTTTAAAACAAATGGTCACTATTCAACTTGTTTTAAGCTTTTTTTTTGTTTTTAGTTTTAAGCTATATTTAGAAAAAAAAGAATATTATTACCCATCGGTTTGACAATTTTGTTAACATGGACAATACAACTGAATACGAAGTATTATACGGAGTACAATAGAAAGAAACAAGAACCCAATATTTTTCAAAATATTGAAAAATTATAGTTTTAGGAAGAGATGGGAAAATAAAGTACAAATAGTCGAGAAGAGTAAGAAAATGCTAATGACCTTTTTTTCATTGAATGATTTTACCCAACAAAGGTTAAAATGAAATTTTGGCACCTTACAAAAAAATGAAATTTTAATATTGTATGATTATGATTTTAATTTGATTATTGATAATTTATCAACGTTTAACTAGATTAGACTTAAAATGAATTGTAGTGATGAGTTAATTGAGACCGGTCCAAGTGTATAAACAGGTTAGACTTAAGCCATGTTCTCCTAATTTATTTTTTATTTATTACTTATTTTTATTAGAACTACATCAGACTAAATCAGAAATAATTTTAAATATAACTACATTCAGATTAGATCAGATCACACCAGATCAGATTAGAATTTATTCTAATCAGATCAAATAAAGAGAACATGACTTTAATATACAGAAATGATATTTGTACTCTATTTTTTGTCATTGACACTCTAAACTCTAAAGTACTCTCTACACTATTAATGTGAGAGAGTGAACTGTGCATCCACCTCCCACATTAGAGTAAGAACGAATGAACCAAAACATATATATTCAACCAAATTCATTAGCATGGGGTTTTTTCTGAAACTGTCTAAAAATAGTTCCGTGAAAACTTGGCCTAAAGCGGATAATATGATACTAATTCCCACAGCCAGACCGTTAAATTTACGGTCGCCGAGGCCCAAATATACTTATTTATTCCTCATTATTTCTCTCTGCTTCATAATACATAACCATAAATTTAATTTTTTAAACCTCCAAATTAAAAATTTTAACTTGAGACTAAAAAAAAAAATTATATAGTGGTGCCTAATTAACAACACCTCATGCTCCAAAGATAATGAAGGGGGAATTCTTGGTACGAAAAATAAAGAGTACATACGTAGCTGTACAAATACTTTGAATAATCAAAGTATAAATGACACTTACCTCCCTCCGCCCGTCCCTGCTTCCCACCCACCTCACGCTGCCACCTAGCTATTCTGGCCATTGTTCACTCATTAAAAGCAATGATTTTAAACCCGGACCGGAAGTCGACCCAGCGAGGAGGAGGACAGATCCCGGGTCAATCCGGGTTTTCCGGGTCAACCCGATTTTCCCCGAGTTTTTCGGGTTTTTGGGGGTTGGACCGGACCGGTTGTGTGTCTGGGTCGCGGTTCGACCGGTCAGACCGCCTGGTCCAGTTCGGATTTAATAACACTGATTAAAAGAGGATGAATGTCATGGTTCCGACCCCTCTTTCACCCCTCCTACACCCCCAAGATCGCCGATTTGGCCCCCGCCAAATCAGTAATCTAGTAGGGAACAGAGGTGGGATGCAGGGGGAGGCAAGAGGGTAAGAACCATCAATTTTACCAACAGATTACCGTAGGTGGCCCAAAATGCCAAGGTCATTTAGGGTTACTTTTGGCCAAGGTCAAAAGATCCTTGCCAATAAAGAAATAAACGAACATTGTGCAACTTATAAGTCGCGAGCAAACACCATTCCTCCAGATGTATAATATATGAACTCCTAAAACCCATTTCATAAAACATTTATGAAATCATCAGCATCCCATTTATCCTTTCTTTATAGACAAATATGGGAGATGCATTAAGAACTAAACACATGATCAATACAATCTGCAATAGATTTACAAACAAATAAGGGGAAAAGTTTTCATAGTTCTGCTCCCTTGCGTCGTTTGTAACTTGTGATAATGAATATTATTAACTCTAGTGGCATCATAATTGTTACCTGGAGATTAATAGCCTTTCTGAATGTTCTAAAGTCAATACAGGTTGGAGCAATGGTTTCTTTCAATAAACACTTTGTATCTTGCATGAAACCTTCTTCTTCTTCTTCTTTTATTTTTTGGAATCATAACGACAACACTTCACTGGCTGAATTCAATCTCTGGACATCCACGAACTGGTAAAGATCGCCGCGCCTTTGCTTCTCCAATGGCAGATTTGTCCTGTAAGCATCGTCATTCGTCAAGCAAATGGGACAAATTCGATAAGAAAATGCAAGAGATGAATGATAAGAACGCGAAATAGACAGTTCTGCATTCGCAACAACAAATCACCTCCTTTGTTCAATCTGTGTATAGTCTATCTCTGATATTATTATTGCCTCTTCATGCTCAGTAGTAGCTACTATTTCCCCAAACTGCCAATGAAATTCACAATAAATTAAAACTACAATATAATAAAGTTAAAGTTACTCATAACAATGTAGCTTACAGTTCTTGGAATGTCGGATGAGCCATAAAACTACATACATGATATATTGTAAAAGGAAACGTGCAAGTCCCTTATATTCTTTGCTCTAGTCTTGTGAAACGACTTTGCAAAATTCAAAGGATTAACCCACAGTTCAATTTTGAGTCTTTAAGAAAGTACCTACAAAAAAAGCGGAAAACTCACCGGTCCAACAAGTGTGGAATGACCCCATGCCACATATCCCGCTCCAGCATCTCGAGCAGGGGAACATGTTGCAACATACAGCTGAAAAGTACATTCATAAATCATAAGCACTCCGTAGATAGAGAGTGATTCATAGTCCCTCCTTATGCAACAAGTCAGTCACTGTTTGGTTTTGGACACTTATTTTTGTGTTTAATTCAAATTCATTATTTTTGAAAGGTTTTTCAAACCAATTTTGACATGCCTAACCAATGCCCACCAATGCCCTTGGGGCATTGGTTAAGCATTTCAAATATAGAATTTTATCTTTAAATGCTCAGGACGAAATGCATTTAATGTGCTTACTTAATATGTTCATTTTATGATAAATTTCCATATTTGGAATGACCAGTGCCCCAAGAACAATGGTTAGCAAAACCATTTTTAAATGGCAGCAATAGCAATGGCCTTTCCCAACCATCATATGTTGCACTAACTTGAGATTTATGATTAGCAAAGGCATTCTCAATTTTGTTATTACAACAAAAGCTAATATAATCTCAATTCCGTTGGAATCTAAGGTGTACACAGTCATACTCTTGTGAGATAAAGACCTATTTATGTTAGACCTTTGAATTTTGATGCATTAATGTGTTTACTACCCAAAACTTCATAGAAAGAAAGAAAGGAAGATTAACATGACATTTTTATTTAGATGATTATTTACGCAAAGCAAAACATCGTTAGTAATTACTCTGTTAGCTCCATTGACAACGGATACATCCAATTTTTTATTATCAAATATTAATCATTAACTCGTTCTTCTTTTTCTTATCCATGATCATTTACTTCTCGTTGGATGTGGATGGCAAGGCTTAAGTCCTTTATAAGTTATAAAGTTAAAGGGTGTATAGCATAAGACTTCTTATATGGTTGCGAAGCATTGTGAATTAGTCCCCCTTTAGCTAATTTAACTTAGTCCATCACTAATAACAATCTCAAGTTTGGGCAGACAGGATTAGAAGACGTAAAAACTATGGCTTAAGTGAAAAGTACATTAAACTTTGTAGCTTAATATTCTAATATTTTGGTCATGTATCCCAGTTTGGAAATGCAATACTTAAGTTCCTACTTCCTACAACTACCAAAAAAAAATCGTACAGAGTATCACACTAATCCCTTCCAGAATTCCCAGATCATCAAATTATTACAAATTGAAACATTGCTAGAAGATGATACGGGTATGGCTTCTTGGAAAATTGTATTGCATACTCAAGATGTAAACTGTTCTTGAAGCCAAATCAAGTATGCCCTTCGCAAGGTGAGTTCCATATTATTTTTGTTAGAAGAAACCTACTAATTATTACAGTAACACTACTACCTAGAATATAGGCCACTGAGTAGAGCTTACTTTAAGTGCATATCTTGTATAAAATATAACAAATCTTTGTTCTCTATTTGAAAAAAAAATAGAGGAGCATAAAATAAAAATTTATTTCAAAAAAAAAATCTATTTCTCATTTGAAATTTAATTCCTTTATGCACTTCTATATTGAACATCTTAACATTTACTTTTTAAGTTTTTACCAAATGTATCACCAATAGCGGTAGCTTCCAATTTTTTAATTCTCACAATAAACTCTTCAGCAAATGTTCTAATTGGGCAGTACTAGTTAAAATGGAAACCAATCAAACCTAATCTAAAATGGTTGGACCGATGGTGAAACCGGTTGAGCGATTGTCTATGATTTGATCACTAGCCTGCTATTAAAAATCATGTTTAAATGTTTTATGCTCAGTGTCCCCGGCTATTATAGCCATTAACTATGAACACTTTAAGATTCTTTTCTTTTTATGCAAACCATCAAAAACTATTTTTTTTAACTCTTAGTAATTGCGTACACGTGGGTGGCTTGGAGTGGGGTGAGCTTAACGGAAATATACTCATTTTCTATGTTAAGGGACTTACCACTAAAGGTTAAGAAACAGGCAATTTCTTCTTTTTCACCTTTTTATTGTACATTTTTAATTATTTGATTTGGTCATTTATTATTGGAAAAACTAAACCCTGCTTCCTCATGCATAGATTTATGTACTAACAATAAAACCGGCTTGGCGGCTTCTTTCTAGCCTAGTTGGACAACAAGGATTGTGATCCTTCTTCCGCAAAGTACTAGAGTTCGAACCGGTACAATGGTCATTGCGATTACCTCATTCACTCAGTGTATGTACTAACAATAAATGAATTAAGCATAAAGCAGAACCAAAAAACAAGTTCAAGCCAGTCTCGTTATTCCAGAAGACAGACACATTCAAATTTTGCGTGGGACTGTGGGTGTGTGGGTTGGTGGTGGGGGGGGGGGAATGATCTTTGATAAAATTACGATCTGAAGTAAAAATGAATTTAAGATACCTGATTATCTGCAGCCCTGCAATAAGAATGAAAACAAAAAATCAACAAGGAAATATTTGTGATTTCATAAACCAAGTAACATCATGATGATACTGTGTTTCAAACCAAAGGATTTATCGATGAAGAGTTCTCCATTACGGCTGAAAGGGAACCTCTTTAGAAGAAAAATGACATTTTTACCTTGCTCTCTGCAGTAATTCCCAGTGAAGGGGTCCAGTGGTCATGTTAAATGCACCAGGATAGCAGATCAAGTGGACACCTGACAACCAAATGTCACAATCAGTTGGCAGGACTTTTTATAGGCCACATTTGCTTGAGTTGTTGAGAATTTTTTAATTTCTGTGTTTGAACTTTGAATTGTTGCTATTGTGATGTAAAATTACTTACGGAGTATAAGGGTATTCATACAAAAGTTAGGGTACTCCGGTATTTGCGAAAAAAGAAGGTAGGTATTTTTCAGACAGTTGAGGGAGAATTCGAGGAAAGGTTTGAATTGCTACAGTAAATTCAACTTGGAGTTGTTCAATTTCATTTACATTAGCCAGCCACAAACGGGAGCTGAAACGCTGGGAAAAACGCACCCATTATCCAATACGTAGTTACACAATGCAGAACAGAATAAACAACAATTAATTGTGCCATCCAATCAATCCGTCAAACATGCCATCGATAAAGCCAAACCATTATCTATGGTTTTCATAATCAGATTATTTCAAAAATACTAAGCAATTGTTCTAGGTTAAAGGGTAAAATGGAAAGTGTTTTCAAGAAAGATAAAGTGGAGTGGCACCACTAACATATGGTCTAGCCCATATGGGATATATACCATCCTATAACATTGTGGATCACGTTGATTGTGCACAACTAAACGAGAACAACTAGAGAGATGCATGGAGTGGATAAAATTACATAAAACAAATTGCACTCTAGGCACGTGATCACAATGGCATGAACACAAGGCTGGAAGTGTGGAAGTCTATGCAATATTACCATACACTAGATTTGGTTATTGAGAACAAGCAATATGGGTGGAGTACAACAATGACTAGTTAGATTCTAAAGAAGCTAGTACGAGAGGAGCTATTTTAAAAGAGAAAGAACTGACCTCTTGATGCATATAGCATAGCTAGCTCCTGAAAGCGAATGTCATAACAAATGCCTATACCAATTCGTCCAACCTCTGCAAGAATACAAATAATAATAATAATTGTAATTATTGTTGTTGTTGCCCATGCTGTTAGCATCATCATATCTTCCATACCCAAGGACAAACATGTTCTGATGTTCAATAATAGTAAATCCGTATCCAATTTCAAATGCAAAATCTTGACAATTACCTGTATCGACAACTGTAGGCGTTTTCCCAGCTGTGAGGGTCTTAGACTCTATAAAAGTTATCTTGTCGGGAATATCAATATCAAAAAGGTGTATCTGTTAAGAAGAAATATAAACAATAATTAGGACATGAAATAATATAGACTTCAATTAGACAATAACAACAAACCCTAATCTCAACTCCCTTGGGGTATGAGGGGTCAAGATGTATCATGAATGCAACTTTACCCGGTTAGGCTGTTTTCATTAGACCTTTGATGCATTGCTGCATTTACTGTCTAAAATTTTGCAAAAAGTAAAAGTCAAGGGAAGTTTAATGTGCCATTTTAATTTAGTACGAAGTGCATCATTTACCTAAGCTAAAACATAGGATTTTTGTCCAAAAACACGGCTACATATAAATAGGATATGTTTATGAAAGTAAATGAGACTGAACTTGTAAGGTCAAAATACAATAATGTAGATTTGATAAATGTTTCTATACTAATGGCATCTTCCGGAATAGGAAGATGAAAATGAACGGAAAAACTTAGATATTAATAAACAGAACCTTAACCATGCAACGTATTGCAGAATCAGAAACGTACGACGAGATAAGTCATTGTGCCCACTATATATAGGTTCACATGATCAATATTATCGCTTCAGACTTTCAGGGCTTGTGATGGAATCATTCAAATTCTATCCAGTCGCTTTCTATTGATGTACAAGAAATTACCTTTCTGTGTTTTGCCTTCAACTTTCCCTCAGAGTCAAAGACACAGCACGTGTTAAACAACTTATCCCCACTTCGTTCTGGTATTGAACCACCTATAATTGTGACCTTTAGAAGACGAGCAACTTCAGAAAGCATGGCTGTTGAAGGCGATGCACTAGGGCCAGCATCAATGTCCTCCGCATAGATTGGGAAGCTATCGTTTAAATATGGACTATTCCATATTTCCTAGCAAAAGAAAGTAACTCATTATCTGAAAACATAGCAACACCCAAAACTAAATCCAACATCAAGTCTTTGCACTTTAAGCATTTTCCCATTTACTCTAATGCCAGGAAAATTGTGACTAACTGTGTAACTAGGGTTTAAACTAAGCGAATAATTTTGGCTCAATTCTTGATTCATATTCGGATATAACAAATTGAATTCGAACATTTCAAATACCAATAAAAAATTCAAATAAAGAGTTGAAAGTTGATATTGGTCCATCGCTTAAATTATGACTAAAACAAATTGAATATTTGTTTAGGATTTGTTGACTATTCGAATAATTAATCTACTACAAATCTCATTTAAAATTTGTTTATTATTCGGATTTGAATTTGTATTTGGAAAAATCAAGCTAATACAAATTAAAATACTTGGTATTTGGATTCGGTTTGTTTACAACGTTATGTGTAACCCATGCTACAAGAACACCCAACAACCCAAAAAGTAAAAAATTGGGTAAGGGTTGTAATTTGTCTATGTTAGTGATTAAGCAATCACAAACATTAAGGGGTGAATGACGTAAACGAGCAGCATCTTAGTTGTTGCCAAGTATTTGTATTTTTCAGGAAACTAAATTTTGTTTCACAACACATGCATGCAGCATTGAGGAGAAGGGCAGTAATTGGAATGCTTAGCATTCTCAATCCATGGAATAAACTCATTTTGGATTGAGATATTGAGATACTCTAAACAAACTCACAACAAGAACAGAGAAACCAGATAAAAAGGAAACATCCTCGCCTTCTTGGGGCTTTCTGATTCACACTATCAGCCTAAATTTGAGTCTAGGACGTGGAAATCTACTCGACTGGTAAAGTGATATAGTGGTAGAAATTCAACCCTAAATCCTTAGAAAAATGCAGACTATTCAACTTCCTTATGAAGCATCAAAGGATCCCAAATGGAAATCCACAATTTCTATTTCCCATAAATTCCATCTCGGGTACAGATCAAAATCAAAAGACTCCTACAGTGAGAGTGATAGTCAATTTGAAAGCAGAAATTGACGAACAGGACAGCTGAAATGCACTCACAGGCAAAAGTATGAGCTTAGCTCCCTTCTCTGCAGCCTCTTCAATGGCACTTCTAGCATGAACAATGTTCCTCTCCTTATCAGAAGTCACAGACAACTGGCAAAGGCCGATCTTAAACTGCTCGCCAGAATCCAGAGAGTACAAATCAGCCGTTTCAAAAATGATTTTTTTTGTTGAAATGAATTCATCATTCCCAATAAATTTAGCGAAAAATGAAATTCAGAGTAGGAAGGAGACCTTAGTAACCGGAGGAGTGGGCAATTTGATAGCTTGAGGAACCCTAGATTGTTCAGGATGGAGCGAAGCGGCCATGATTGAAGAAGACGCAGCAGTGAGGGTCGTACCAGAAAAGATGTGGAACTTGGAGAGGAGGCTGCTGCCGTAAGTGGTTGTACCTTTGTCGAGTAAGAGAGGACGACGGCGCTGCAGCAGAGTCGGCGTGTATCTTGCGGTGGCGCGTGAGGGACCGGAGAGTGGTGATGAACAAAGGGCTGGAGACGACAAGGCTAGATAAGCTCTCATTTGCCTGACTTCACTTTCTAGCAAGGGCTAGAAAAGTAATAAAGTGAAATTTGTTCGACACTTCGATCAAAACACACGATTTTCACTCTCCTAAACATTAGACATCCTTTAATCACACATTCGGGATAAAAGACCAAAGTCTATATTTGGTACTTGAGATGATTTATATTTAGTATAATTTTCTTCTAGCATAGTTCATATGTATTGAATTTGAATCTTATCATTTGATACCACTTGTCTTATCAAATGTGCAACGTCCGTCGGTAATTTTTTTTACTTTCTAACTATCTATGTGTGCGGCGATTCAATTTTCTTCCTTATGATAATGTCATGCTTTGTTTTGCTGATAAAATTATGTTTTGAAGTCGTCCTAAATCGATAAATGTAATGGGACAATGACTAATAAAAAGTATTTCATTCTGCTCCGTTGTCTCGTACATTTATTTCTAAATTCAAATATTCATTTACATTACTTTCTTTATCAAATATTCATTTTTTAATGAGTTAAGACAGCCCGAAACGTTTTGAATCATCCTGGTCCCAACACGAAAGAAACAAAAGAGAATAATTTCGTGTCCCAAAACATTATGACCCCTTTCCATAAAATGGGATTACGACTAGACAACTACAAACACGGATCGTTTCAACCTGTGCCCATCCCTATTACTCCACTTCTAAAAAACTTTCTGCAATATGATTTTTTTAGGAGACTCTGTAAATTTCATATTTTATTTAGTTAGATTTGTTATAATGTTCTCATATCTACAAAAAAATTGAATATTCATATAAAAGTATGCTACTTTTTAAAATTCTCTAAACATCTTTTGACATAAATTAAAATATTTTTCCAACTCAAATTTATAATTTATGTCCAAATATTCTTTTTATTTAAATGTGTTTGTTCGGCTTAATTTTTCCATAGAACAAATTTTGGTTACCAATTTTATAAATACTCCATACTACATTATATATTAATAAAATAAAATACTTTTTTGAAAACATCCTGCATTATAAATCTAATATGTAATCTAAACTGCAATTTTTATTTAATTAGTAATTAAATAATCTGCACTTCAAATCTTTAATTTTAAAAACTTAAACTAGACAATAATATATTGGGCATTTTTATACACACTTGGATCATTTTCAAGGCCCACCACATCTTTCTAGCCCACATAGTAGACCAAGAAAACCCGAGGAAGAACCGATGGAGGGAGAACAGGCCGGAGTTGTTGCGGTGGCGTCAGTCGGAGGGAAAGGGTGGCCGTGAGGCGGCAGCGGTGGAGGTGTGGGCTGTGGCCGGCGGCGGGATGGGTTTGGTGGGCCCAACGTTTTTAAATTAAAAGTTAAAAAAGAAAAACTCAAAACGCCAAATATAATTCCCAACCGTTATTAACGGCTCATTCCTTCCCGCCTCTTTCTGTTTTCTTCTCCTTCACCAATCCATTCCCCCAAAAAATACAATCTTTTTTTGGTCTTCTCGTCAAGCTTGGCCGGAAAAAATGGCGGACTCGAGTTCCGCCGCCCTCTTCCCCTACTACCCCCACCACCACTCCTCCCCCCTCCCTCTTCCCCTCGATAATCCCCAAACCCCCGCGGCCCCGCCCGAACTCCAATGGACGTTCGAATCACCCGAACCTCCATTTCCCGCCATTTCTCAACCCGAACCTCCCGGGGGACCCGCCAATCCGACGCCAATAACCCCTCCATGTTCATCAATGGCCCCCGCGTCCCCGTCCCTCTGCAATCCTTCCTGTCTCCTCCTCCGAGAAATAAGTCACACAAACGGTGCGCTGCCGAACTCAAAAATTCGTCCAGTTTGACTTTTTCCTGCAGACGAATTTGATAAAATTTGTTTGAATTTTTGAAAGTTTCTTGAGATTGCTTTTGTTGATTATTAGGGCTTCAAATATGGAAACTTCAGATCCATGGAGGCATTGGAATGGTGACTCACGCAGTGCTTGAGAAACTTTCTTCAGATTTTTCTTTACTGCCAGAGTACCAAACCTTCGAGTAAGGATATCTTTATTACAATAATAAATTAAAATTACAGTTATAATCTCAATCTGACAAACAAAAAGTGAGATTTGTGTACGATACGTACGAATTTGACGTTAGTTTTTTTGCACGTCTTCTTTGTCATCTAAGTTATGTGAGAGACATTATATATAGTAAAATTTGCACTAAATAGGACTAAAACATAATGACTTTCCTAATGTAGGACTTAAACTTTTTTATTCCCTAAATAGGACTTAATAATGACCTAGTGGGAAGAATAATGTCCAGTAATGATGGACATTTACTTGAATAATGACTACTTGATAATGACCAAAAGTCCTACATTGAGAAATAAAAGGAAAGTCATTATGTTTTAATTCTATTTAGGTAAATTTCTCTTATACATATGGGTTCTAATGTAATTGTGGGTGTATGAATGGTGTTGTGACAAAATTATTGCAGTTTTTGCATGGAAAGTGGGAGTGGAGTGAAGCAATTTTTGGTTGGGTATTTTGAGGGTAGAAAGGAAGAGGGATATGTTGTGCTTGAAGATCCATTGTGGGAATTCTATGATGCTTTGAGCGTTGGATTGGGAGTGGGCGATTTTTTGGACATTGACTCTTTCTTTGAACTCACACCTCCTATTGATTCAGGTTCCTAAATTTAGTCTGAAAATATTATATTTCCTTCCAAAAAAATCATGAACTTATTTTCTTCCCTAAATTATTTTTCTTTTTTTAGAAGTCAAAAAAACATTTTTTAACTAATTTATTCGAGAGAAATACTTAACTAAAGGAAATTTAGCTTTATTAACGAAAATAATACCTTCGATGTTTATATACTAAAATATGACTTATACGACTAACCAATATTGCAGAATGCTAACACACAATGCTAATTTGCTGATATTTCACAGTGCCAACACTTACGTTTAGAAATACGGAGTAAAAATGTATGATTTTTTATTTTGGTTGGTTTAATGTTTTGGTCTTAATTATTTTCTATAATTTCTTATTTTATTTTTCTTTTTTATTTAAAGAACACTTCTCGTTAACTTAAATTTCCTGTTTACAGAGGATTTATTATTATTTATTGAAATCAGATAGATTAAATAAAATCATAACGATTCATTTTTTAAATAATATTCCATACGTTTATTTTTAGCATTAACTAAGAGATCAAATTTTTTGCCAAACAGGTAGCAACCAATTGAATGAACAAGACATGCCAAACAATCAAAACGACGCGCCACCCCCACCACCGCCGGGAGACGGCGGGAATGGAAGCGGCAGCGGCGAAAAACCCCAAAAGATCCCTCTCTCCGCGCAGAGAGAAAGGACGGGGAAGCTGAAGGTGAAGGACTTTGCAGGGTACCTCCATCTTCCGATAGAGGAAGCTGCCCGGAGAATGAACATCTGCCCGACGGTGATGAAGAAGATCTGCCGGCGAGACGGGCTGGTGCGGTGGCCCTACCGGAAGATCAGAAGCATTCAGAGGAAAATCGCCGCCAGGTCCAAGGCCTTGTCCGGTGTCGACCCCGACGAGCGCCGCCGCGCCCATCTCGAAATCCTCGACCTTCAGCAGCAGCTCGCCGCCATTTCTCAAGCATTCTTGGGTTGATTTCTAAAACTGGTTAATAAGTACTCATTTTGGTCCCCTCGCGATACAAATTATTTAATAAGTCAAATTAGTTTTTGCACGTAAAAAATGTAAATGAAGTTATTTCATCGAAGAGAATTTATCTCTTAAAATGTTTTGAAGGAATTCAATTTTTTTTTTGTGACACCCATACATGTAACATATGATTCTTTACTGATTCCATTAATGACCGTATGAAAGAGAACGAGAAGTGTTTGTAAGTGATTAACTTGTGAATAAAGTGATTTCCACAAAGGTTGAAAGTAAAGAACCTCATTATTGCTTCTCCGAAACGGTGTTCAATGTACAAAATAGTGGTGGAGAAAAACATTAGCTAATATGTCAAACAAAGTAAAATCATTTACACTCAAAACAGAAGTTAAATTCTTAAAAGCAACGCACTACCAAACACTCTCAGAATAGTTTTTAATAAAATAAGGTTAAGTTTTACATAATATGGTTAAAATTACCACAGAATATTACTTTTTTTATGATTAAATTTCATATTTATTTAAATTTCGAAAGCCTCTTTACTTTTCACAAGGGTACATTTGACTACATCTTATCTTGACACCTAGAGTCCAATGAATTAAAGAATTATACTAGTAGTATGTTTTTGTTATTATTCGAAGCTCGGCATGTTCATATATCAATGCTAGGTTTGGTTTATACACGCGCTGGTTGAAAATTATGCTCTCCTTATTCATACGGAGTATTTTATTTTGACAATTTGATTTCATGCCTTTAGAAAAAAAGTTTTGAAAAAGAAAAATAGTGGGTATTTGAAATTTGTTTTGAAAAAATAAATTAAAAGTAAATACCATGTATGAGTTAGTTTAGAGTTAATTTTTTAAACGGTCTTTTTAAATGAGGTGTTTTTTTCAAAATAGTCTTCAATAAGTAATAATTATTTGTGTGATTCTTTATAATTTAGATTTATTCTCTAAATGATCATCTGCCAAAAGTATCTATTAAATGTCAATCAAATAAAAAGTACTTTGGTATTTTTCTATCATCTAAATTCAAAATATGTTCTCGAAACATTCCTTTATAATTGTTGGGATATTGATTAATAATCAAAAGAAAAGAATAAAAAAATAAGGAAGAAGAGAAAGAAGAAAAAAAAAAAGGTACGGGTATCATGCATGCATGTATAATGTATGTGAAGATGTGGTGTTGATGGGCCATGCATTGTCATTTTGTACTTGGTTGGAGAATTGTTGCAGGATACTCTCTATATAATTAGGTATGTTAAAGAGAGAGAGAGTGTGTGGGTTTTACACACCACCAAGGTAGAGAGAGAAATATGGGAGGAATTCTTCACAAGAATATCACCGGGAAAATCCAAGGGGTCTTGGTGAGTGTGGGTGAGTGTAGGGAGTAACTGGTTTTAGTTACTCGGAAAAATACATCCGGTCATAGGATGCGGAAAGATCTGTTTATAAGTGTCTGGAATTTAGCCTTGTAAACAGAGAAGAGTTTTTGTATATTGTCCTAAAAAAAGTGGAAATATAATTTTTTTTCTCTTTCATATTCTTCTTGTGTTTGTTCTCTCATTTTTCTGGTGTTCTCAATATTTTTCGGTATCTTACGCGCTTAAAATCCCAACAATTGGTATCAGAGCTTGGTTGCGCTGGGCAGGAGGGATTTGTAAGCGGTAAAAGGAGAAATTTTGAGAACCCAGGGATTGGTCGGTTTTGGCCAGAAGGCGACCATGGGACTTCAAGAACAAAGTGGATGGCATGAGGACCGAGTACGAAGCGGCATGTTGGCTTTGTGAAGTATGGTGCGGGAACAGGACTTGAAGAGATCGGTGGTCTAGCGGAGTGAAAAGCTGCGGTTTATGTCTTGTATCGAAAGTTTTCCCGGCAAGAAGAGGTCGGGCAGCGTGTTCCGCAGGTGTTGCTGCGGCGGTGCAAGATGGGCAGATCGAAAGAAGCTAATTGCTAGAGGGGTGGTGTGAGAGAGTGTTAACAAAGGTGAGTTCTCATTTTTTTTAACTCGGGGTGGAGGGTTAAAACTCTAAGGAGCTAAGGTTGTGGCGGTGATCTTGACGGGTTGGTTGATATGGAGCAACGGGTACAGCAATAACGGGAAATGGTGAGGACCTTGTTGTATTGAGCAAGGTGAGGCCACGACAATGAGTCAACACATGGTGGCGGAGAGCTTGCGGTATTGAGCAAGATAGGTCATGAAAATTTTATCAAGGTGGTAGTGATCTTGGTAGATGGACCAAGGTGGAGCCACAAGGATTTTTTTCTTCTTTGAGATTGGCAGCGGTGATCTCGGTGGAGCACACTGAGATGGCGTCAAGGATATTTTTTTTCTTTTTGGAGTAGCGCTGATCGTCTCACCGGAGAAGTGAGGTGGAGCTACAAAGTTTTTTTTGATTATTTAATCAAGGTGGAGTTTGTTGGGATATTGATTAATAATCAAAAGAAAAGAATAAAAAAAATAAGGAAGAAGACAAAGAAGAAAGAAAAAAAAGGTACGGGTATCATGCATGCATGTATAATGTATGTGAAGATGTGGTGTTGATGGGCCATGCATTGTCATTTTGTACTTGGTTGGAGAATTGTTGCAGGATACTTCCTATATAATTAGGTATGTTAAAGAGAGAGAGAGAGTGTGGGTTTTACACACCACCAAGGTAGAGAGAGAAATATGGGAGGAATTCTACACAAGAATACCACCGGGAAAATCCAAGGGGTCTTGGTGAGTGTGGGTGAGTGTAGGGAGTAACTGGTTTTAGTTACTCGGAAAAATACATCCGGTCATAAGATGCGAAAAGATCTGTTTATAAGTGTCTGGAATTTAGCCTTGTAAACAGAGGAGAGTTTTTGTATATTGTCCTAAAAAAAGTGGAAATATAATTTTTTTTCTCTCTTATATTCTTCTTGTGTTTGTTCTCTCATTTTTCTGGTGTTCTCAATATTTTTCGGTATCTTACGCGCTTAAAATCCCAACAATAATTAAGTATCTTTTCAAACTGATAATTTATAAATAAATGTTTTTATGAAATGGAGTCCATGAGCCCACTCGGGGTGAGTCCTTTCCCTCTAGCAACTACCCATTTAATTTGAAAAGATCATTTTCAAGACATATTTATAGTTTAGATGATGGAAAATATCAAAATACCCTTGACTAATCTATCATTTAATAGACTTTTTTCACAGATGATTATTTAAGAAAAATATTTCAATTACAAAGGACCACGTTAATAATTACTTCTTATTGAGGACTAATTCAAAAAAACATCTATTAGAAGGGATCGTTTTGAAAAATTTACTCAATTTTAAATTAGGAAAATAGAGAAGCATGCAATGTTTTTGGAAGACAATTCCAAAGGGAAGTACATCTCAATGATTTGGACGGAGGAGGGAGTACATGTTTCAAATATCGAAATTGTCAAATTATGTCCAAAAATGTGATTACAAAAATGGACAAATCCTTAGAACTCGAACCAGCAAGTGGGATCCCGAGGGGAGGTGAGGGGTGGCAGTTCCCGCTCCTCAAGTTTGGGACCCGAACTGGCAACCCCCACTCCCCCGGGTGCTGCAAACCGGTACTGGACTCGCCGAAAGGACCGAACCGGTTTGGCAGGTTTCAGGTTCCCACTGTTTGGGAGACTGGGAACACAGCTAAACATAAAACATTAGCACAAAAAACACGTGCACATATTTACCTCAAGAGGACAGAAAAGTCTCCCCCACTAATGCCCCGCCACATTGCCATCTTTTGTAGCCACCCCCCCATCCTTCCTAGATATGGAGGTCCACCCCCTGTCCTTCCGGCGGCCCAACAGAAGTTTCTTCCATCTTCCCAGGAAGTTTACTAGGAAAGACCCTCCTGACAAGGGAGAGAGCCTCCAAACAACATATATGTGTGTGGGCATTAAGAATGGGAAGATTACCAGTGTATGTGGAGTTTTCCAACAATGGAGTCTACCATGGACAATGATGTCTTTGCCTGGGACTTCTCTGATGAGTTCCTTGGGCTCATTGACTGGGCTGAGGAAGATCCACTCTCTCTACTCATCAACGACCAACCTCCATTGAATCCGGCGAACGAGGAGGTTTTGCCTTCTTCTAATGGAGCTCACAGCTTCAAAAGAGGATCTAAAAACGGTAAGTAACAGAAATATACTCCTTAGAATTAAGGGTGGGGGTGCCCTAAGTGTGACCCCCATGCCACTCCCCATGCAGATGCCCTGAGTGTGACCCCACACCACGCCATTCACATTGTCGGTCTTGTCGGTGTATAAGAATGTTTATGAGGTGGTGTGGGGGTTGGGTGACACTTGGGGTACCCCTAGCATGATTCTACAAAGCATCATGCATCGGAAGCTCAGTTCCACTCTGAGCACATGTGACACGAGACTCTCACCTACGGCTACTCTTTCGAGGATCCTTTTGAAGTGAACTAGACCTAATTCACCTCTTGAGGAACCTTTTATTAGGGGTGATTTAGACCTAACTCAATGAATATGCGTCGAATTGCAGATGGTGGAAACAACAAGGGAGCAAAACGAAAGTTTGCATTCATAACAATGTCAGTTGTTGAAGTACTTGATGATGGCTACAAGTGGAGAAAGTATGGCAAGAAGATGGTGAAGAGCAGCCCGAATCCGAGGTATTACGAATCATAACGATAGCCAATATGACACTATGTATACCATGTTCTTGAAATCAAGAAAACCATCAAACCTGATTGGAATCATCCTGCAGTCCTGCCACTCTCTTCCAGCAGAGTCGTTCTGCAGAACAGTATTAAAGTTTAAACACTGAATGCAAAAGCAGCAATAGTGTGATTTTTTATTTATTGCATGTCAACAGGAACTACTACAAGTGCTTGGTGAATGGCTGTCCAGTGAAGAAGCGAGTTGAGCGGGAGAAAGAAGATCCAAGAAATGTGATAACAACCTATGAGGGCACCCATAACCATGAGGATCCCCAGCCTTCATCCCAACAACAGAAAAGCTTGGGGATGCTAAGTTCTCATCTTCGTTCCCAACAAGAATGACAAAAATCATTATGTATAAAAAACTTACCACCTCTGCCCTGAATCGTTAAAGCAATGGAATAATGGTACTTTGCTGTAGATTCTGTCGTCCTTGTAATAAGTTGTTGTATCATTTCGTCATCACCTACCAGTGTTAGGCCAAAAAATAATAATGAGCCACGGTGATAAGATCATAAGAACTTGTGAGGTCAACTAGTTAAAAGCAAATAGTAGACAAGTAGACAACCCAAAGATTTTTTTTTTATTTTCTAAAGNCCCCCCCCCCCCCACACACACACACACCTTTTTTACCTTGTCTAAAAAGAGGATTAATTACTTCGTTCCCCATGAGAAACAAACATGAAGAATAATACTGAGTAATAAAATGCTTGTAAAGGATCTCACTTGGGGCAAGTCCAAACTCCAAACTTCTAGTTGATTGAAATATAATCATGATATAGTCCCCAAAGACTATAAAAGAAAACATCAATTTCAACACTTGGTTAGTCGATAATTACTCAGTACACTTGTCCATTACCTCTACACCCGTCTTTAATTGCAAGATTAGCAAAGTTTAGATACAAATATGTATGCGCACACACACATACACAAGCAAAAATTTCCATACTTCCATCTTGCAAGTGGCAAGTTGGCTACTTGCACGCAATGGCTCAAAGAACTGACGCACTTCTAGGTTATACATACATAGCAACCTGAAAGAGTTCAACGCTGAAAAGTGTTGTAATTCATCTTTAACTTAATAAAAAAAACTGACAAGATTTAGGAATTTCCCAAATCTCATAGAATATAAGAGAATATTCCAGGAAAAGATTTGGTATGGAATGGGATTAGATATCATAACAAGACACTTAAACACACAATTAAGGAAACTTCTTGAAAAAGATTAAGCTATGCCTGGCACCGTGTTTAGTGTACAACCGGCACTCACTACTTGAGGTTTCTTCACCAGCTTCGTGCCAGTTTTACCCATATCCGACACCAGTTTTGTGTTATTTGCCTCAAGAAGTTCATTTTTGGGGTCGTCTTTTGGGCTGTATCATAGGTTCAGAGCAAAACTCCTATCTCAACTTAAAATGCTAAAATCCTTTCAAATTCATTGAAAACTTTCAAGAAAATTCTCACTTTAGTACAAATAAAGAAGATAGAAACTCATGGTGCTTCACTGCTTTCTACACCCATACAAAAAAATATGTTTTCCTTTTGAGTAAACGATGCAACCTTCCTGCCAAGAGTCTCGTACATGATAAATTATTAGGTCTTATTAACAACAAAGGCATTAAAACATACTCCATTAAAGACAGAAATGCTGAAATGAATATGTAGAAAGGCCAGAAGCTGATCAACAATAGGAGTGCATGCTACTCATCCTAAAAGAGAAACGAAAATGGAATGGCACCTTCAAATTCAATCATAATACAGCTTAAGAAATATTATTCTAAAAACTCCCCTCATGCCATGATATGCCACCATCAGTCAATCACCTGTTTGTCAAACAACAACAACCCCAACTGCATTGGGTTTTTTTTTTGGGGGGGGGGTAAGACTTAAGATGCACACAACAGATATTTTGTTTCCATTAAAACCTTGATGCTTTTACTTCCCAAAACTTGTCTGCCAAACAAAAATTCCAAATAGAGTCTCACAGTAACGAAGTGAAATCAGAAACTCTCACACTAACAAAGGGAAATCAGACTACGACAGAAATAAGCATCATCGTGGCTCATGGGTTCATGTTGATGCTTTCTTAATATTAAGGAATGTCTACATGATATGTCTGAAGAAGTTGAAAATCAAATTAAACTAGAAAAAGAAGAAAGCATTATGTATACAAAGGACATGGTTTTGGCCCAATAAGTCCCGAAACAGTGATGTTAAAGAACTAAGTTAATTTCTCTGAGATTCTCCTTCCTTTCAATTACTCCACTATTTATACTCTAGCAATCATCAGGGACCTCCCTTGGTGACATTAAGATCAATATGATTGGCAATATTTGGAGTGCCCTCGGCTTCCAAGAATCTTCTCAAACATGTATCATCCAAATGTTTCTGAAAACAATCAACAAATAAAAAATTCAAATAATAATCAACTGTTGATTCAAAGTTCAAACTTCAGGTAAATAGCTTACAGAAAGGCAATGTCTGTACTTCTGCCATTCAGAAACACAATCTTCTTTATCCCACTGGCCCTTCAAGAACTTCTCAGAATACCACCTATACAAAACAATTCCAGCCATTAATTTCGGCAGAGCTTCAGGGTTTAGGGTTCAGGGAAAACGGCAGAATTGACTTCTTAGAAGCTTGGCTTTCAATGAACAAGTATATGAAGATAGAGGTGGCTAACAATTTAAAAATTAAACTAATACAAAGCAAAATTCGTGTTTTTTTTCCGGGGGGATTGGGAACCAAATCATCAAAAAAGGGGGGAAACAAATGGATTCAGATCGAGTGAAGAGGGGGGACCTGTTGAAGCAATTGTTGTAAGCTTCTCTCAGATCGGCACATGGTGAAGTTGCTGAGGAAGACGAGCTTTTCTTCTCATTCTGAATCCCCATTTCCCTACGCAGTGACCATAATCGTAAGAAAATGTTTTGAATTGCTGCGGCTTGTTCCCTACGGAAGAATTCTCTCCGTTTGAATTTCTACTGGCTTGTTGGTTAAGTTTAAAGGGTAAACTGTAAAATAACTTGTTCTCAATATATTAGGGAGTATTTCTAATCTAAATGTATAAGATTTGATTCGATCTGATTTTTTAAAATTTAATGTGAACTAAACTCATATGATTCTAGTTAAAATTACAAATATGATCTGATTTGATTTGGATTTTTTTCTAATCTAATTTAGTTTAATCTGATTTCAATAAGAATAAATTCAAGAGAACAAACTAAGGGGGTGTATTCAATTTGGATTTTAAAAGATTTTGAGAAATTGTTTAGAATCTATGGATTTTGTAATTTCATTGAATTCTTTTAAGTTTACGTAGAGTTAGCTAGATTCTAATGTATTTTAGCATATGATTTTATAGGATTATGTTTTTTTTCCTTTTTTTTTCTTTTATGTTTTTCTTTTTCTTTTTCTTTTCTTTTTTTTCCTCCACCCTAGCTAGCCACTTCTTCCGATCCAACTCAGTTCTTTCTGCTTTTTTTCTTTTTCTTTTCTTTTCTTTTTTTCCTCCTCCCCCAAGAACCCTAGCAACTTCTTTCCATCCATCTCAGTAATTTCCGTTTTTTTTCTTTTCTTTTTTCTTTTCTTTTCTTTTTGTTCCTTTTTCCTCCAAAAACTTCATCTAAAATCAGTTTGTGAACAAGTTCTCATTACCTGTGTAAATCCACAAACCTTTCCCCAAATTATTCCCCCACTAGATCGGTGACAATGGGATTCGAGAAAGACAGAGCGAGAATTCGAAGAATCTGAAAGATTGCTGACCCTGGGATTCGAGAAAGACGAAGTGAGTTCGTCCTCACATGTTCTCCACATACCCAGAGAAGACACCGTGCTGTTCTCGTCGGATCAAGTATGAAGGAGACAACCCTGCAACATGGAATTGCAAAAGAGACGATGATGAAGAAGAAGACAGCAGAGGTTGAGGGAGAGACGGACGGTCGGACTTAGGAGGAAGGATGAAGGACGGAAGGAGTTTTTAGAATCTTGGACTTTTGGATGAGATTTGAAAATGAATTTATATTTATACCTAATGCTACAAAATCCATCAAAATCCACCTTTTTAAACATTTTTAAAAAGTTATCAACTTTTTGAATACCATCATATTTAGAAGGATTTTTTAAAATCGCAATTGAATACACCCAGATTTTAAATAACTTTTTTAAATCTGAATTGAATACCTACAGATTTTTAGAATCCTAAAAAATCCATCAGAATCTGAATTGAATACACCCCCTAGATTTTATTGTTTCAATTTCTAACTCTTTACTTATAGTTTCTAGTGTTATTTTAGCTTTATACTTCGTATTTATTTCATCTTTTAAAAAAGAGATTTTACATTTTCTTTTATCTTTGTTCAAAAAAAACTTTCTTTTATACTCTGTAAAGGAAAAGGATTCACACAAATACATAATCATACCAATATATATCAACCTAATAATCAAGTCAAATAGAATGGTCTACAATAGCTGGAAAGAGGGGAGTACCCATATTAGGTCGGCCTAACGTCTCGGAAACGTTGTCTGAGTTAAGACTAACTTTTCAAAAATTATGGTTTTCACCTAAGCTAAATTCTACAAAAAGAACACGTTGATGAACATCGTTCACCGTTTGCCAGCACCAAAATAAGATGTACTACCTCCGTCCCGCTATGTTCGTCCACTTTTGACTTTTGGAACTGTTCATCTAAGCACTTTGACTCATCAAATTTTCTCAAAGTGTAAGCCTAAATATAGTCATGTGTGATCTTGTTTGATTTGTCTTAACATATAGATTATTAATATATAATTTCTATAATTTTTTAATATACAAATTACAAGATAAAATGAATTAAATAAGTGTATTGGATGATGTGTAAAAATGAAAGTGGACAAATACTCTGGGACGGAGGGAGTACATGACATGATTAGATGAGATCACATGATGGCGATAAGAGCCCTAATAGTTTAAAAGATACAAAATGTTACAATCAAAGGGTGAAGAGTGTTTTTTATGAATGAAGAATGCAAGCCACAAGTCAAGAGTGTTTAACATGAACACCATATTTTTTCCAATAATCTACTTATGTAGAACTTCATTTGATTGGAACCCAATTCTTAATCTTGAACCACTTTTGTATACTTTTTGTACGTAGCTCACTCTCCTAATTATATTAATAATACTTAGGCCACATGTTTTTCCACTCACATCCTTTTGATATTTCCTTTGTTATGTTTAAATAATTTGTTCAAAGACTAAGCCCATTGTATCTCACTCGATCAATAATGGTTAGTCATAAGACTCTTGTAACAAATTTAAAAACACCACCTTGAAAACAAATTTATGAGTCATCAAAATGTTGTTACTAAGTTCGCTCATCTTAAAAATGGCCAAAATACTTCCGTGTGATATTACTAACTATGGGAATGACCCAAGCTCTACATTTAGTCAGTTCATCAATGGGGATGAGTCATTCGTGTGAGTGCTTTTGAAATGTTGAGCGGAAAAGGATAGCACGACTCATTCCGTTCAGACACTGTGTATAATGGGAGAAGGCATGCCAAGTTCCTGCACTCTAGACAAGGGAAAGTGCAACAAATGAAGAGCAAAACTCGAGCCCCAATGAATATTAGGTTAATATGGAGAAAACCGATGTGAAGAATGAAATGATGGTTCACATAGAGTCTATGTTAAATAGACTCCAAAAAAAGTTGGGGAAAATGAGGACGTTGTACACATGGAAGTTGAGGGTTGAAGTGGGTAAGTTCATCACAAGGATCAGTAGCGGACCTACAATGGTCCCAGTGGGGTTTAAGTGCACCCACTAATTTTTTTCCTAATGATAGCTATAGTACCACATTCATGCACTCCTATCTTACACTCCTAGAGTTCTTAGTAGGAATTATAAAGTATATTAGGGTGGGTTCACACTGTTAGCCACATTTATCCTGTCCTTATTTGTTTTCCTTTTTATTTTGTCAATTTGCATTTTTATTATTTTATCTTTTTACATTTTATGATGTTTGACTAAATTTATTTTTAGTTTCATTTATTTCAAAAGTGGCGTAATTTTTTTAAACAATTATGTATTTAAAAATAAATTAAAAATTCTACAAAATAAGATGTTATATGAGTATTTATTTTATTAAATTAAATAACAAAAAAATTAATAAAAAATAATTAAAATTTGAGTTAAATAACTTATGGTATTTTTTTTTGCACACTCAAATCCGTGATCATGTTGAAATGTGTGATCGTTTTCCAGAAACCCACTTATCCCAGGGCACTAGCCAAGAATGCATATATATTTGAAGCCACAAACCCGACGCTAATCTGAATTCTTCATATACTGTTAATCTGAGCCCGAGACGGAATCTGATAATGGCGCAGAAGCAATCCAAGTACGATCAGTTCAAGGGCCAGCCACGCCTCCCTCAATTCGCGGTCCCAAAGCGCTACGACATTCGCCTGAAGCCGGAACTGATCGCCTGTAAGTTTGCCGGCGCCGTTGATATCTCCGTGCAAGTCATCGCAGACACCAAGTTTCTGGTTCTCAATGCCGCCGAGCTCACCGTTGATCCCAAGTGTGTCGTCTTCAAAGCCCAAAACCAGGTACGGATCCGCCGTTTGAACAGATTATCAAAAAGATCATTTTTTGCTTGAATGGAACTCAATGCACTTGTTGGGTTTGGCGAATTGAGTGAAATTTGACTCCAAATATATTGCTTTTTTAAAAATAAATCCTTTTCTTCGTGTGTTAATAGGTGTTGGAGGCAGTGGAGGTGGAGTTTCTGGCGGAGGATGAGATTTTGGTGCTAGAGTTTGGGGAGACTTTGTCTAGGGGGTTGGGAGTTTTGAGCATTGCGTCCTTCGAAGGAACCTTAAATGACAGGATGAAAGGGTTTTACAGAAGGTACCATCTGAATCCTATGACTTTCCTTTTTGGGGTGATAAATTAATATGTGATTGTGTATTGTGATAGGATATTCTTCCGTTTATCGTTCTCTTTTTTCAAATTTTCTATCTAGTTTTTCATCCTAAGTCTAATGAAGTTTATACAGTACTTATCTGCACAATGGGGAGAGTAAGAATATGGCTGTTACCCAATTTGAGCCAGCTGATGCAAGGAGATGCTTTCCTTGTTGGGATGAACCATCTTTTAAGGTATTTTATGTACTGAACTCTATTCTTTTAACCCATGGATCATTTTCATAGCTACTTTCTAGGTTACATTTGGTCCTCACTCAATCAAGAGGTTACCTTTTTCACATTCGTCCAGTAATGTTTAGGGGCACATTGTTTTGAATGGGCTCTGCATTTGATAGATTTAGCCGTACCCTCTCAGCTGTTGCCATGTTAAGTGTTTTGATATCTACTTTTTATATTATGTTCAGTATTTGCAGAATTGTTTCCCCATAATTCTTACGAGTATGTGGTGAATGTTGGGAAAAAATGTCTCGAGCATTGATTTGCTTGTCTTTGTTGAATAAAATTGTGCACGTTTATATGCACCTAGCAATTGGCACTCACTCTTTCATTCTCTTGTTTTGATGGAGTACTATTTTAAGTTGCCAATATAGTCTGCTGCAGGCAGAATTGTGTAAATGGCTAAATTCAAGATGACAATTGCTATTGATCTATTTTCAGGCCGCATTCAAGATGACATTAGAAGTACCATCTGAACTGGTAGCCCTTTCCAACATGCCAGTTATCGAAGAACAATTAAACGGGGATATGAAAATAGTTTATTATCAAGAATCTCCAATCATGTCCACATACTTGGTGGCCATTGTTGTCGGTTTATTTGATTACGTTGAAGATCATACACCAGATGGTAAATAATAAGTTTTAATCCTTTTTCACGAAATTCCTGTTCCATGATCAATATGTAGTTTCCTTGCATAAATATCTTAACTTTCTGCAGGAATTCCTGTTAGGGTCTATTGTCAGGTTGGGAAAGCAAATCAAGGGAAGTTTGCTTTAGATGTAGCTGTCAAAACACTGGGAATT